AAATACTCAATAACTCAAAAATAAAATTTTGAATCATCACCAAAAAGTATACAGATCTTAAGATTAATATAACTAAGAAGTGTGTAAAGTTTTAAGCAATAATCATAAATTGTTTTTTGAGATACGGTGTGACATGTGAAAAAGAACACAGACCTGTTTTAGTTACTAAGTCCCGTAACTCAAAAAGTTTTAATCTTATTTTCACCAAAAAGTATACAGATCATTTGACTATCATAAGAAACAACTATGTTAAGTTTCATGAAATTTGGATAAGTCGTTCTCAAGTTACGGTGCGACATGTTTACGCCTGACAGACAGACCGACAGACGGATAGACAGACAGACGACATTTGTATACCATAATACGTCCCGTCAAAATTTTGACGGGTGTATAACAATAATTGATCGGCACTGATTTTCGAACTCGTCCAAGACATTACAAATATAAACCTATGATATAAGTTTCATAAAAATCTGGCAATAATTGTACACATGAGAGCGCTAAAAATGCAATTTTACATATAACTAATGTTTCTAAGGGGCATAACTCTTTTAAAAATAGTTGATAGGCACTGATAATTTCGAACTCGATCAAGACATGCTAATCTATGATATAAGTTTCATAAAAATCTGGCAAGAATTGTATACATGAGAGCCCGAACGATGCAACTTTCCATATAATTATATAATTAATGTTTCCAAGGGGCTTAACTCTTTTAAAAATAATTGATCTGTGGCACTGATTTTCGAATTTGTCCAAGACATTGCTGATATAAACCTATGATATAAGTTTCATAAAATTCTGGCTAGAACTGTACAGGTGAGAGCGCTAACAAGACCGGATAGGCAGACAGACGGACACCCGGTATTTCTATGTTCCCTGCAATGCATTGCGAGGGGTACAAAAAAAAAAAGAAAACAATATTCTGATATGTATTTGTATTCAATTTGCCTTAGATTTAATCTTTTTACAAAAAAAAAACCCATAAATTTAAGGAGTATATTGTAAGGTGGCAAAAAAGGGGGGAGTAACTCAAATTTTTTTTTTGGACTAAATTATTAAACCATTAAACTTATTAAACGGGTCATTTTCCAAATTCCCAGGTTATTTAAACACCCGGAGGGTATTAAAAAAATCCCAGGTGAGGGGTGAAATTTACGGGTGTCACCCATAGGATATGGGTCAGTTGACTGTAACTTGGTTTTCTCTTAAAGATATACTATGGGATATAAACATTGTGTCAGATGTTAACAAGAGTGCACATGCTGAAATGTCTCGCCTGCTTTACTGACCATTGATTTTATGTTGAAAGTCTTAAAGATAAAGGTTTTACTAAAAGCATTACAGAAACTTAACATTTTTAAAAATCTATGACAATGATGTCATGGTCAGATTAATTGTGTCAGAAAGACATATACACCTTACAATTTTTTCATACACCAAATATAGTTGACCTATTGCGTATGCTAATTGAAAAACAGACAAAAACACAAAAACTTAACATTGACCAATGAACCATGAGAATGAGGTCAAGGTCAGATGAAACCTGCCAGACTGACCTTGTAACCATTACAATAATTCCATACATCAAATATAGTTGACCTACTGCTTATAGTATTTGAGAAACGGACCTAATCACGTAACTTTAACCTTGATCACTGATCCATTAAATGAGGTTGAGGTCAGGTGAACTCTGTCTGACGTTGCAAGGAACCCATATACCAAATATAATTATCCTATTGCTCATAATAAGTGAGTAATTCATATGACAAAAAAACTCAAAATTTATTTTCAAGCAGTCGCTGAACCATGAAAATGAGGTCAAGGACAATGGACATATGATTGACGGAAACTTCATAACATAAGGTATCTGCATACATTTATTTTTGCGGGGTGTAAATTTTCACTTATTTTCGCAGATAGAACAAAAATGCCAAAATAAATTCCGCCAATTTAAAAGTGCACATGCAATGGTGTTGTATAAAAGTTTTAAAATTGCCAAAATGATAATTGCCAAAATATTTTGTATACCTTATTCAATGATAATTGCGAAATTTTACACCCACGAAAATAACCCGCTACCGGTATATGGTATTCCATTACTGATGAAAACGGACTTGGATTGAAATATCTCAACAAACTGGATTGATTGGTTGGTGTTTAACGCCACTTTCAACACTATTGTGCTTTTTCGTGGCAGTCAGTTTTTATAGGTGGAAGAAGCCGGACTGCCCAAAGAGAACCACCGACCTTAGGTAGGAAAACTGACTATCCTAGTCAATTAAGATTTGAGTCGAGTGCACCTGCCCCGTGCCGGCTTCGAACTTACAACCTCAGTGTTGACTGGCTAGTGATACAATAGATCGACTACTTAGATCACTCGGCCACCGAGGCTCCTCAACAAACTGGAAAAAGCTGACATGGGACAATTATGAAATCACATCAGGTTTATCTGCAAAAGAGGCAAAACTACGTACTGCTACATTGCTTACATGCATTGGTCCAGAGGCAATGGATATTTTTGATGGACTAGATTTCGACAATGAAGAAGGCAAAAGTGATTGAGAAATTTGAAGCATTTTGTATAGGCAAAACAAATGAAACATTTGAAAGATACACTTTCAAACATATGTAATCAAAGAGAAGCAGAAAACATCGACACTTTCGTCTCAAAGCTAAGAAAACTTGCAAAAACATGCAACTATCAAGATTAAATAGAAAGCCGCATTCGTGATAGGATTGTATGTGGAATACGGGACAACACGGCAAGAAGAAGACTTTTGCAAGAAGACAAATTGACATTAAAGAAGTGCATAGACATTTGTCGTGCTTTAGAATCTACTTCAGCAAAAATGAAAACAATGACAGGAGCATCTAATAACTTGGACATAGAAGACATTAAGGCGGTAAGAAATAAATTCTCTTTCATCAAGCAAAAAAACATTTACACAAAAGCAAAACAAAAGAAATTTTTTATATTGTGGAAAACAGTGCACTAAAGGCAAATGTCCCGCATATGGGAACAAATGTGACAATTGTGGGAAACAGAATCATTTTGCTTCGCAATGTAGACAAAAAAATAAACCTAGGAGTAGAAGGTTAGATGTAAGGCAATTTAACAGATGAGAACAAGAGCAAATACGAAATTATGGCTGTAGAAACACACGATGTATAAAACGTAAACACGATCCAGAATAAAATATTTGCACCGATGCTTAATTAATAGATGAAAACAAAGGGGTTAAATTTCAATTAGATAGCAGTGTGACTGCTAATCTAATACCCAGTTCTTATCTCAATCATTCCAAATTGAGAGTGGAAATGACAAGCTAACAATGTATAATAAGTCTACTATGAAATTGTATGGCACATGCATGCTGTGTCTAAAGAATCCAAAAACATATAAACGACACAATGTCAAGTTTATTGTTGTTGCTGATAAATACACACCTCTACTGGGAGCAAATGCTATTCAAGCTATGAATCTAATTAAGATACAATTTCAAAACATTATGGTGTGTCCGATAGCCAGAATGTAACAGGCATTTCGTCTATGAAAAGCATTATCTCGGAATACTCAGACGTATTTGAGGGTCAGAAGGAACATTTAAGGGAGTCTTAAAATTAGAAATTGATGAGTCCATATCTCCTGTTAGGCCTCCTTTAAAATGCATACCTATTGCATTTAAGCTGAAGTTAAAGACAGAACTTCAAAGACTGACATGACAAACGTTTAAGTTTCAAAAGATTTGGTATTTTTTATTATCATTGAAACTGAAAAAAAAGAAAATCTGCAGGTAACAAAAGGGCATACTGTTGAATGGTAAATGGCAAAACCATCAAAATCAAATGTGACCTGTATTTAATGGTCCATGACATTGTTTTAAAATTTCAATTTTGTCAAGCAGTACTTTATCATTTGGAACCAAACTTGTGATGGACGGATGAAGGGATCAATGAACTGAAGAAAAATAGATGAAAGAACAGACATGTGCATCACTATATATTGCCTCCTCAAAGCTGGGAAATAACAAAACTCCCTTTAGCATCCCTATGACTAGAATTCTGCAACATTTGTTTCATAACAGACAAAAAAAAAAAGGAATGAGCTGTCCAATTGACAGCAAACTGGGTTTTCTGTATTTTGAAAGGTGCTTTCAGGCTTTTTTGACCTGCCACATTCTAAGCCTATTTTCCAATCTATCAAGGACCATAACTCCTGACCTCCAAAATGGAAATAGTTAATATCAAACTCGACCACCATTTTGTCATCAGAAACAGCATATTAAAATTTTAAGAGCATTGGCTGAATGGTTCATAAGTAATTGCACGGAAACGACATAAAGTGCAAATTTTCAATCTATCGATCGAGAACCATAAATTCTGGAAGGCAAAAGAGAAAATCATCAATATCACACATGACCTCCATTTTTTAATCAGTTACAACATATTAAAATTTTAAAAGCATTGGTCAAGCGGTTCATCAGTAATTGTACGGAAACCACATAAAGTGCCATTTTCCAATAGATCAAGGATCATAATTCCTGAACAGTATAATTAATGATAGTCAACATTAAACATGACCTAGATTTAGTCATCAGTTGCATATTATAATTATAATTGGAAAACCAAATTAATTGGAGAACGGTTCATAAGTTATTGACCAGAAATGACATAGAGTGCCATTTTCCAATATATCAAGGACCATAACTCTTGAACCGTAAAAGTGAAAATCATCAATCTCCAAATTGACCTCCATTTTGTCATTAGTATCAACATATTAAAATTTGAAATGCATTCATTCAATGGTTCATAAGTAATTGACTGAAACTGTTGGCAGCAGCCAGCCGTACTTCACCAATTTAATAACTGGATTTTTCCTTGTTAAAAACCATCATATTTCACAGAACAATTCACATTAAATGCAGGTTGAGATGAATAAGGAAAAACAAATACATGTTAATTTTATAAAACCAAACAATATCCAACACCAGTTTTACCTTATTAGTATCTTGATATTTGTCTTTTGGAGAATAATGCAGAGACTGAATATAATTTGATCTATCTAACAATTGTTCAGATCTCTTATTAGTCAGATCTGTTTGTTTCTCTGATCTGGTTGGTGATGGTCTTCTGAAATTTGATTGCTCTGACCTTGGTGATGTAGGCACAGATATTTTGTGCATATGTTTATCTGACATCTCAGATAAATCTGTATCAATATCAACATTAGGTAATACCTAAAAAGAAGTTGGTTAAAAAAATTATGCATGATAATAAACAAATCAACATGCTTCACTTTCAAGGATCTGACAATTTCTTTTCTGATAAATATTAGGTCAAGCAATGAAATTACATTGAAATTTAAAATGTGTATCATTCTGACAAAACCCAAGGATCCTGAAAGATTTTTTCAACTGAATTATAAATAAAGTAATGTCAGATAGTTGTTAGTGAAGCATAGACACAGGATCTGTATATATCATAATAACAGTGCGGAATGAGGACGGAATTTCACGATTTTCCCACCTTGTTGAACTAATCATGATCAGATCAGGACTTTTTGTGATCAAAACATTCACACGGCTGTTGAAATGATTGAAAATGAAAACACTTAATTGTAAGTGTCTACTTTATGTTATGAGCACAGAATTGTACAATAATATTCCTTTCATTTTATATCAAGGAATTATTTGAATCTGGAATAATTTTGAATTCTGGAAAATTGATAAGAAATGTATGATGAAAATTAACCCAACTAAATAGGGTTAGCCATGCATGCATGGCTAAGGGGGATTAGTTAGTTCATAATGAAATATCAGTGAAAGTAGAATTAACCTTGGCCATGCATGCATGGCTAACCCTATTTAGTTTGTCTTTTCGTCTTTATTTTGTTTTTTGCAATTGTGTTTTCAGTTTGTCTTCAACTAATGAGTTTGATTGTCCCTTTGGTATCTTCCGTATCTCTTCTACAGGACACATTGGATTTATCCTTTCCATTGAGAGCGTGTGTATTTATACATCCCACATAGACAAAGGGATGCACAACTTTAAGCAACGGTTTTAATGAAGGAAAACAGAAGCCAGGGTGACCATATTTCCATACCCTAGTCAACCACAGGGATGGCTCCTTTGAATAAACTTAACTCTTAAACAATATAAATTTAACACTATAGTAAAATTTTTAATTATTGTCTTTATCGATATTTACATTGTTATCAATTAATTAAAGCTCAACTAAAGATGTAATAATTTACAGTTATAAAAACTTGTGGGTTTACACATTGTCCACACTATCGGTATTCTTATTTTTTTTTATTGTAAAGGGTCATCATGCTTACTTCAGACCATTTATGACTTCTTTAAACTAGATCTGTTGTATGTTTACTAATTGATATTTAAGTCTAGCTTTAAATGAGCTTTTAGTAAGTTCCAGTTTTTTTTATTTTAGATCGTTAGGTCTTTTGTCTTTTTGTAAGTTGGTTTGTGTGTGAATATGTGTGCTTTATTCATCAAAACAAAATGAGTGAAATTCTTTATGTAGAGAGCATGTATACCAGGATTGAAATTTTGTACATCAGACACACGTTTTGTCTATAAAAAGACTCATCAGTGACGCTCGAATCAAAAAAGTTAAAAAAGTTTTTACAGAGATTCCAACAATTCACTAAAATCCATTTAAAACCTTATATAAACTAAAGTCACAAAATCAAATAAAGGCAAAAGTGAACCATTTATTGGATTTTTTATTTGTTTGTTGGGGAGGGGGTTGTTACATGAGGCTTTTACAATTCTTGGTCGACTATTTTGATTCGAGCTTCACTGATAAGTCTTGCAAAGAGGAAATACTAAATAGTTTGTTATACAAAAGTATAAGCTGCATGTATATATATCTTTCATGAGTTTTTACACGAAGTATTATAGCGCAATTCAGGGGTTTAATTGTTTTTTTCAGCTTCAGTGTTTTGCTATTTTCTACCTGGAAATTCTATTTTTCTAAACAATGAGATATGGCTATAATTTCCCCTGAACTAATTTCACGGCAGGGCCACTTTATTGAAGTTTTTCGATCTCTAATTACTGTTTTGTACCTTAATGTGAGACGTCTATAACACAGTATTATTGTATCCACTGTATAACAGCTCCATGTATGTACTTTGAAAATCTGACATCACTCATTTATTGATAAAATATGAAATAGATTTGTTATCCGAATTTCCATTTTATTGTAATAATGAACCAGGACATGGATTGAAACATAGAAAGACCTAATTATATCAGACAACACCCTACTTTTTAGATCAAAACAATTCAGCGTATTTTCCAATAATAAATTCTTTAAGTCTAATAAATACACTTAATTAATGATTTTTTTCTTCTACTTTTAGTCTTTGAGGGTATTTTAAGGTATTCTTTGGTCCTCTTGGGTAATTCTATGAACGAATAACGATATAGTCATACCAATAATTCAGCAGTGTTAATTTAACTGTTCTTTTCAAAGAAAAAAAATGCACTAGTTTTTTACGAAAGAAAACATATTTAAACCAAGATTAGTCAAGTGCCTCGATCACTGCTAGTCCTCCGTTCTCTTGATAAATCAACAGAAAGCGCTTTTATGTTTAAAATTTCATGAAATCTGGTGCGCACTGTGTCTAAAAGGAAAATAATTATAGATATAATACCCATTTACTTTCATATATTGGTCTGAATTTCAAAATTGTAATGAAATCAACACATTTTCATTCTACCTGATCATGTTGTTGCATTTCTCCCATGATGTTGGCAGGGAATTTTACTATAATACACAATGAAAAAAACTATTTCTGAGTGGTTTAATAGGTATGGATCATAACTAAATTCAGTAGGACAATTTCTTTATCATAAAAATACATAAAAACAAATTAATTTCCATGTTTTCTGGGCATACCACCTTTGTTTTTCTTTAAAAATCACAAAAAGTCCCGATCTGATCACGATTAGTCCAGAAACGCAGAAAAAAATTGTGAGAAGTCCATCCCCACTCACTGTGATAATAAGATTGATAAAACCTTTCATTCGTATAAAAAAAGACATTCTGTGAACAGCTTTTTTTTTCCATCTTTAAAAGAGGTACCAGTTTGCCATGTTTTTTTGTTTGTGAAAAAATCATTGATTTATTGATTTTTCATGTTTTTTAATGAATTGGTTGGAAATATAAATTCAGTTTTGTCCTTTAAACCTCACAAGAGAGGCCTGTAATGTTTATCATCTGCTTTATTGATTATGATTAAATTCTTTTTTGAAATCATTAATATTAAGATCTACCTACAGATATAACAGAATCTTGCCTTTATAAATGGGGTCAAGGTCATTTGAACCTTGCAAGATAGACATGTTCACCTAACAAACATTCATATACTAAATAAAGTTGACCTATTTGCTTATAGTATCTGAGAAACAGACAAAATAACAAAACTTAATGTGACCAATGAACCATGACAATGAGGTCAAGGTCAGATGAAATCTGCAAGACCAGGCATGTTCAGCTTAAAATGATTCAATACACCAAATATAGTTGACCTGAAAAACAGACTTGACAACAAAAACTTAACCTTGGTCACAAATCTGTAAAATGAGGCCATGGTCAGGTGAATCCTGTCTGGACTGACATTGCCCTTGCAACGGTTAAATATACCAAATATAGATATCATAATATTCATAACAAATTAGAAAATCATGTGATAACAAAATATACTTTTTAAGCCGCCACTGAACCTTGAAAATGAGGTCAAGGACAATTGATATATGTCAGAAGGAAATTTTATAACATAAGGCATCTGTTCACAAGATATGAAGTATCCAGGTCTTCTACCTTTCGAAATAAAGCTTTAAGCTTTAACAAATTCTAAGACATTTGTCACAGGCGAGATCAAAATCCAGAAAAATTCATATCCTTCAAAAAATAATAAAAAAAATTGGAATAATAAAGTTTATTATCTGCTCTTAGTAGGTATATTGTATGCATGCAATACTAAATATTAAGGTGCTATATGTTTAATTAAGGTGCTATTTGTTTACACTAAAAATCTTAATTTATTACAAAAAAGGTTACATATTTATATAAATAAATACAGTCGCACCTGGTTGTGTCAAGTCGAAGTGACCATATCAAAGTATTCGACTTATCCGAGGTTCGACTCATCTGAGGTTGAGTGTGTCGTCATAAATTTGGAATGCATGAAATACGATATAAGATTTGTGTAAACTAGATACTTGGAACAGTGTGCCTTTTTTCGATATGACACTTTATGATTGTGTATTCCATCTCCATATTTTTTGGTCCTTCATAATAATTAAACACACAACGTCACAAGTACAGATACAAATCATGCACATATGAAATCAATAGTATACACAAATATTTACAAAGGTCAGTCACTTTAAATTATGAAATCAATTGCGGAACAAAAAAAGTTCTGAACGGTCTCTGGTGAGGTCGTCTGCTTTACATTAAATTATTATGAATTTATCATAATTGTCTAAATCCTTTTATTTATTGTAATTAATGAATTTTAATTCTAACGATTCATTTAATCTCGGCTTGGGTAATTTAAATTCGTTTCGTTTTTATGTCAGGTGAAATATATTCAACACACTAGCATTCCGCTTGAACAATCAATAAAGGTGTTAATTACTAGTCACCAATAACAAGTCATTTTAACTGTTATACAAACAATAGATATAGAAAGATGTGGTATGAGTGCCAATGAGACAACTATCCATCCAAGTTACAATTTATAAAAGTAAACCATTATAGGTCAAGGTACGGCCTTCAACACGGAGCATTGGCTCACACCGAACAGCAAGCTATAAAGGGCCCCAAAAAATTACTAGTGTAAAACGGAAAAACCAAGGGTCTAATCTATGTTAAAACGAGAAACGAGAAACACGTATGAACTACATAAACAGACGACAACTACTGTAATCAGATTCCTGACTTAGGACAGGTGCAAACATTTGCAGCGGGATTAAACGTTTTAATGGTACCAAACCTTCTACCTTTTCTAAAACAATAGTATAACATCACAACATAGAAAAACACACTATAAAATATCAATTGGAAGGCTTAACTCAATCAAAAAACGTAAATTAACACACAATGAACGAATAAATTTGACCTGTGACACCTGAATGCAAATACACAGTTAATAAAAAATTAGAAGGGATAAATAATTAAAGTCAAAAGTAAATAAACAGGTTT